CGCGTCCGCGTCTTCCTCCTGTCTCTGGCACTCACTCTATGACTTCTGCGTCCTTCCACTGCTCCACAGCGTGTCCCTCTGCCCTCTCCTCTTGCGTCCTCTCTTCCTGACGGTCCGGACCCGGAGTCCGACTCCCTTCGTGCTGCTAGTCCTACTGTCACGCGCTTTCTGGCCACTGCGGTCACTGACCCCCTGTTTGAGTTCTCTGCTGCGTCTGCTCTTGTTGCTGAGCTTGTTGACTTTGCTGCAGCCTGTCGCCTAGACTACGCCGCTGGTCTTGTTGCTGAGTCTGCGTCTGTGTCTGTCTGTCCTCCGTCCGTCGGGGGTGAGTGTGCTCTTGGCACGGACGTCCTTGAGGACAGGCAGGAGGACCTTGAGTGTTTTGCTGCTGCTTCACCTCATCTCGTGTCCATGCTGCTTGCCCCTGAGGGAGACCCGGATGCACTAGACATCCCGACCCCGCGCTCTTACGCAGAGGCGATAGAGGGTCCCTACTCCTCTCAGTGGCAGGCAGCCATGGACGCAGAGATGGCTTCCTGGAAGTCCACAGGCACCTACGTAGACGAGGTTCCCCCACCTGGGGCGAACATCGTCAATGGCATGTGGATCTTCAAGGTGAAGCGGCCGCCGGGTTCTCCGCCTGCCTTCAAGGCGTGTTACGTTGCACGTGGCTTCAGTCAGCGATAGGGAGTTGACTTCTTTCAGACCTTCTCCCCTACCCCGAAGATGACCACTCTTCGGGTACTGCTGCACGTAGCTGCTCAGCGTGACTACGAGCTCCACTCGCTTGACTTCATCACAGCCTTCCTACAGGGCAGCCTGCACGAGGAGATCTGGCTGCGCCGCCCACCTGGCTTCACTGGGTCGTTTCCTCCTGGTACCCAGTGGAGCCTCCGGCGGCCAGTCTACGGTCTCCGCCAGGCGCCCCGTGAGTGGCACGACACGCTCAGGACGACTCTTGCTGCTCTTGGTTTTGCTCCTTCCACTGCTGACCCTTCTCTGTTTCTACGCACTGACGCTACTCTGCCGCCGTTCTACGTTCTTGTGTACGTAGACGACCTTGTCTTTGCTACTGCTGACACGGAGGCACTCGCCCACGTGAAGTCCGAGCTGCAGAAGAGACACACGTGCACAGACTTGGGTGAGCTGACAAGCTATCTTGGCTTGCGGATCACCCGGGACAGAGCACAGTGCACCATTACCTTGACTCAGTCACACATGGTGCAGCAGGTCCTTCAGCGCTTCGGCTTCACCTACTCCTCGCCACAGTCCACTCCTCTGCCTACCGGTCACTCGCTCTCAGCTCCACCTTCGGACGAGTCCGTAGAGCCGAGTGGCCCGTATCCAGAGCTTGTGAGCTGCCTCATGTACCTGATGACTTGCACACGACCTGACCTCGCATACCCTCTCAGCCTTCTGGCTCGCTACGTGGCTCCCGGCAGGCACCGAAAGGTACACTGGGATGCTGCGAAGAGGGTGTTGCGATACTTCTGCAGTACATCGGGCATGGGGCTCGTGCTTGGAGGACGGGCTCGAGTTGTCCTCACTGGTCACGCTGACGCCTCCTGGGTTGACGACTTGGCTACGCAGCGGTCGTCACAGGGTTACACCTTCAGTCTTGGCTCCGGCTCTGTCTCCTGGCGGTCTACCCGCTCTTCTTCTGTTCTCAGCTCCAGTTGTGAGGCTGAGATCTACGCTGGGGCCATGGCTGCACAGGAGCTTCGCTGGCTCACCTACCTGCTGACCGACTTGGGAGAGGCGCCTCATTCTCCTCCAGTTCTGTACGTCGACAACAAGGCCATGCTGGCCTTGTGTCAGGAGCACAGACTGGAGCACAGAACGAAGCACATTGCTCTGCGCTACTTCCTTGCTCGAGAGTTGCAGCAGCGTGGCCAGCTTCGTCTTGCTTACGTGGCCTCTCTGGCCAACACTGCTGATGTTTTCACCAAGGCACTTCAGCCTTGTGATCATCAGCGATTCTGTACTGTGTTAGGCCTTGTACCTACTGTGCCTCACTTGTTGACTTCTTGACTCTGCTTGTACTGTACTCTATATACTTATACCTGCATGCTTACACTTGCTAGGTTGTGTTCACTGTACTGTTTGCTTTCCTTTATATAACTCTGCATGTGAACTGGCCTTATGGCCCTTTGCTTGTGCTCAGACTGTGTGGTGACTTTGTGATCCACCCTGAGCCTGCTTTGCTTTTCTTGACTGGTCTTGTGACCTCTTGTTCTCCCCCACTTTGCCTATGGGGGTGTGTCAAACTTATATCTGCTATGGTCTATTTAGGCTGTAGTGGGGTAGCTCTTAGAAGGTACAACACTTATGTGTTTCCTATTTGTACCCATCTCATTCCTAGTTCATTCATTCTTTCGTCTATCTTTCTCACAAAATCGGCGTTGGGAAAAACGGCGTTGGACAAATCCGCGTTGGACGAATCCGTGTTGGACAAATCCGCGTTGGACAAATCCGCGTTGGACAAAACGGCGTTGGACAAATTTGCGCTTTCACAAATCCGCGTTGGAAAAATCCGCGTTGGACAAAACGGTTATGATGGCGGAGACAAGCAGGGCGTAACGATGGCGCACTCAATGCGTCTGGCCACGACGGGCCCAACGACGATAGCTCGTTGGGATTCGCCGCCGTTAGAGTTCGCAAGCGGCATTCCCAGCGGTAGATGCGGAGCTGTCGATCGATCGCTGCGATGCATGCGAACGTGTGATGGTATGGTGGGAGGTCCTAACGAACCCATGCCTCCACCGCAGGTTCAGTGGCAGGGAGGTCCAGGAGAAGACCTGGGACATCCAGGAGGAGGGATGGGAGAAGGGAGAGGTATGGGGAGGGGAGAGTTTTTTGGGGTGGAAGTTGGAGGGATAAGGGGAGGGAGGGGAGGAAGGGGAGGGGAGAGTTTTTTGGGGTGGAAGTTGGAGGGATAAGGGGAGGGAGGGGAGGAAGGGGAGGAGGTAGAATGGTTCTAGGAGGAAGAGGGAGGGGTGGATGGGGGAGAGGAGCAAGTGGAGGAGGTAGGGGAGCAAGAGGCAAGGGAGGAGGGGGAGGAGGAGGAACAGTGGCACAAACTGCAGCTGCTGCAGCAGCGGCAGCAGAAGCAGCAATGGCAGTAGCGGCAGCGTCGCAACAAGTGAGGAGAGGAAATGAAGGGGGAGGAGAGGAGAGAGGAGACAGAAGCCCTCCTAGAAGGCGACAGAGATTGGACGACTGAAGTAGAAAAGATTGAACCTTTAACTAGAAGGGTTGGATTAGGGTTGACTGAAATCGCGCCCTAATTGCTCCAATGGTTGGGTCTCTTGAAGTTAATAATTCTTACTTTGGCCTTTGAACCAGTGAAGGGTACTAAATAAAAAGGGTTTTGAGAGGGTGTCAGCCAGATTAACATAGGACTTAACCATGTTTTTGTGGTGTACTTGCTATGCTAATTACACATAGTTTCTTCAAGGGTATTTCCGTAGTGGGAATGAATGTGTGGCAAGCCATGAATGCTCTGCCACGCCAGACTGACATGGATATTTTGAATCAGCACTTGTGCTGAGTAGACCAGCGTTTTCCGATGGACATCGTGAAATCTTCGAACCGTGGCCCTTCGTTGGGTATTCATGACGTGGTCACACTTGGTGGTGTGCTGCTGCATTTTTTTTTACGTGGTTCGGTTTGCGTAAGTCTGCCCATGAATTTTAGAATCTGTAGGGCCGTCTTTCCGACGGTATCTCAACTGCCAGTTGAGCATCTAATCCAAAGTGCGACCTTCGCCTTATTGAAAATTTGAGTATATGTACCTTTAAAACATAAATTCTCTAGGGAAACCAGTAAATCCAAATAGTTCGTGCCAACCCTCGTTGACGAATGGCAGGACTTCTCCGGTGGTCACACCGCTTTGCGCTCGCTGATTCGCTGACTCTACTTCACACAATCGGGTGGCGAATCGGCGATTCGCGGAGGCACAAAGCTTCTCGCTGGTTTGTTCGCTCGCGGCCGCAACTGCGCTCCCGCCAACACAACCACCTCGTTTCGCTGACTGGCTGGGTGAGTGGGTGGGTGTGCAGGACACACAACCCAACCCAACCATTATTAGCCTCAAGTCTCATCTCGACTTGCATCTGTCTCGAGTCTTGACCGAAAGGCAGAATACGTGCATCTTCCCTCTCACCTTTGTTGGCTTACTTTTGTTAGCTGTTGCGTCTGCTTTTCTAATAACACTCCTTAGCTCGTGTCTCTCGGCATTGCACACTTTCGCCTCGCGAGGTAACTCTTGTCGGTTAGGTGCGGCTATTTGCGGCAACATACGACTACATACGACTACATACGATTAGGTACGGTTAGCTGCGGCCAGCGTAGCATTCAAGCGGGCGTAACGACGCGTTCTTAGCAGGGCTGCGATGGCGCACTCAGTGCGGCTGACCACGATGGCCCCAGCGGCGGGAACTCGCTTCTCGCGGGATTCGCCGCAGTTAGAGCTCGCAAGCGGCATTCCCGTCGCAAGCGGCATTCCCGGCGGCAGATGCGGAGCCGTCGATCGATCGCAGCGATGCATGCGAACGTGTCGTACGACGGCTGAAACATCGCATAACCGAATAGTACGAGCCGTGCTGGGGTGTAGCAGCAGCTGCGACAGTTGCGCGCCAGAGCTGCGAATGCCACGTGGCGATCCCGCCGCATCTACCGCGGCGGTAACGCATACAACGGCTCGGCGTATAGGCGGCGAGCTTACAAGCGGCGCGGCTCGATCTTGTCGGCAGCAGCCGGTATTTGCCGTTGAACGACAGCAGCGCTGGTTGCGGCGGGAATCACGGCAAGATACGATCTGGCCGCCAAGCCTATGGCAGGGCCAGGCGAGGTTCTTACGGCGAGAATCGCGGCGACAAACCCGGGGGTTTAGATACGTGGCGATGTGTGGAGGTGACGAGAGGGTTGGTGATACTAACGAAAGCGAGGCCTTCCGCGTCGGCTCGAAAAAGAGCGACAGAGCTTTTCGTCAGCCTTCGATGCAGTCATTTTCGTGCGACGCACCGCCAAACGGAGCAGCTAATAACGCGGCGGCGGCGGCGGGGGCGGCGGCGGCGGCTCTGCCTGACGAAGACGCAACGGCGAGTTCTAGAAGCGGAGGCGGCACGATTCTCGGAGCCGTTGCGCTCATTATAGGAACGTCCGTCGGCGCGGGCGTGCTTGCGCTTCCCGCGGAGACTGCTCCCGCTGTAAGTTCAATGCGCGGGGTGGGGGGAAAAGGAGGGTGTTCAGGGGATGTGAAGATGCGAAGTTGAGCGCTAGGCATGTATACTCCTGCATCTTCCACCTCACTTGCTTTCCCTCTTCTTTTCCCCCCTTCCCTTCCCCCCCCCATCCCTTCCCCATCTTCCCCCTCTCCCCCACAAACCCGCAAATTTCCAGGGTGTTTTCCCCTCGTCGTTCGTGCTAATAGCCTGCTGGGCCTTCCTGTGCCTCGAGGCGCTGCTGCTGGCGGAAGTTAACGTCGCCCTCATCAAGGAGAGATCCGTTGATCCCTCTAGCAGCAATGCCGGCATCAGCAACAGCAGCAGCAATAACTAGATACGTGCCCGCCTGCATTCCTCGCTCACTCACTTTCCCTCTCTCCGTTCCCCCCCTTTCCCCCTCGTCCCCTCGTTATCTATTTTCTCAGGGTGTTTTCCCCTCGTCGTTCGTGCTGATAGCCTGCTGGGCCTTCCTGTGCCTCGAGGCGCTGCTGCTGGCGGAAGTCAACGTCGCTCTCATCAAGGAGAGATCCGTTAGTAGCAGCACCGTTAGCAGCAGCATGGCCACTGGCATTACCGCTAGCAGCAGCAGCAGCAGCAGCAGCAGCAGCAGCAGCAACAGCAGCAGCAGCAGCAGCAATAGCGGCAACAGCAGCAGTACCGGAGCTGCAGGTTCGGAACAAGAGCCTGAGCGAGGCTCGGACGTCCTGTCCTACCGAACCATGGCCGAGGCGACTCTGGGTCCGGTGGGCGGCACTGTAGCTACAGTAGCATACGTGTTTTTGTCCTTCACACTTATAGTCGCATATTTCGCCAAGGGAGGGGAAGTTTTGGCGTTTGGTACGGGTCTTCCCAACTGGGTGGGTGCAGTGGGGTTCTTTTCGGTGCTGGGTGGTCTAATCTACAGCGGCAGCACCAGAACAGCAGATATAATCAACCGGGTATTGACAGCCGGTTTGCTGGGGATATTTACCCTCCTGGTCTGCGGAGGGGCGGCAGTCGCGGACTGGGATGAGCTGGCAGTTGCTGATTGGTCAGAAATGCCGACCACTCTCCCCGTAATCTTCCTCGCGCTGGTCTTCCACGATTTGATTCCCGTGATCTGCACGTATCTGGACGCGAATCTGGGAAAGATTCGGGCGGCAATCGTGATCGGGAGTGCAGCACCTCTTACGATGTTTGTAGTCTGGGACACCATTGCTCTTTCTATCTCCCCTTCCTCCCTCACTTCTGCCGCTGCTGCCGCCGCTGCTGCTCCTGCCGGTGCTTTTTCCCTCTCCTCCCTCTCCTCCGCCATCTCCTCTCTCTCCTCCTCCCTCTCCCACCTCGCCTCCTCCCTCCCCTCCTCCCTCTCCACCGCCCTCTCCACTCCCTCACTCGCTCCCTCACTCACTCCCTCACTCCCTCACGCGCTCTCCACGCCTTTCCAAGACCCTCTGAACCTCCTCCTGCTGCAAGGCTCACCCCTCCAATCCTCCATCGTTCTCGCATTCTCATTCCTCGCCGTTGCAACGTCGTTCCTTGGCACATCGCTAGCCCTGGCTGAATTCTTTATGGAGCAGCTGGGTTTGATAGCTGTTGGTGGGGACAAGAGGAGAGGCGAGGAGGAGCATGGAGGTTTAATAACTTCAGATGTGAGGAGGAGGGATGAGGAGCAGCAGCGGTTGATAGACCAAAAAGGAAGAGGCGAGGAGAATCAGGGTTTGACAGCCCTTCAAAGCCGGATTTCAGGGAGGATTCAGGAACAGGAGCAGCAAGAGGTTGAAGTTAACAGTGTGGATTTCAAGGAGGCGGGATTAGGGTTTGTGAGGTCGCATGTGAGGGAGGTGGGATTCCTTCTGGCCCTCTGCCCGCCGCTGCTGGTGGCTTTAGCGAATCCGGGCGCGTTTGTGGCGGCGAGCAAGGCGGCAGGCGCATACGGCATGACTGTGCTGTATGGGATCATGCCGCCGCTCATGTTCTACGCGCATCACAAGCAGGTGGGGGGGGGGTGGGTTGCAGTGGGGTGCAGTGGGGTGCGGTGGGGTGCAGTGGCGTGCAGTGGGGTGCGGTGAGGTGGGGTTTCTCCTGGCCCTCTGCTCGTTTCTGCTGGTGGCTCTGGCAAACCCTGTCGTGTTTGTAACGGCGAGCAAGGCAAACCCTCAAATGGAATTCCTTTCTGCTTTCTCCTCTTTCCCATTTCACCCCTTGCCCCCTGCTGCCTGTATTTGGCCTTGTCCCAAGCAGGAAGCAATTGTGTGCGACCCAGCAACCAAGGATTGCTCAACACACCACCGGTGGCTCGAGCCAGGGGGCAGCTTTGCTCTGGCCAGCATGGGGGCCTGCGCTTTCTCTGTCATCGCCGGGCAAGCGCTGCTCGATTCTTCCTTAGATACTTCCTTCCTGTCCTCGCGAGGGGAAGGAGGGGCGTTCGTCCTCGCTCAGAGCGACTCGTTACTGGATAGCAGCACGCAACAGTGTGGTTCTGCTGTCTCCAGCAGCAGCGGTGACGAAATGGGTAGCAGCGGCAGAAGCAACAATGACATCGATAACGATAACAGCAGCAGTAGCAGCAGCAGCAGTGTGGATCCGGCTTCCTGCTCTGGTGCTGCAGCAGCAGCACAAAGCCCTGCTGCTGTTGCTGCTAACACTCGTGCTGTCAACCCTCCGCTAGTGTTTGCAAGCCAATCGGCCCCCGACACGTCAGACCTGCAACTGCCACTGCCTGACGGTCCAACTGTTGTTGAGATATGAAACATGTTTTGATATTGATGTTACCTTTAGTTGTAATCAGCGTTGTGCTTGATAGTCATTGATTTGTAAGATGAATGCTTACAATGTACTCAATATACCAACAGGTATGAACCCAAGTCACGCATACGTAGTCTGAAGTGCTTGGGTCCTAGACAGGGCCTCAGAAGTCAGCGAAAAATCGCTGAATTAGGTATAAAATGCTGAGATTTCATACCTTTTTTTTAGGTTGAGGCTGATTTTTCAGTCTTTTTTTTTTTCACTTGTACGTTGATTTTTCAACGTTTACTTGATGGCGTATGCTTATTTTTCAGTTTTTCTCTAGTGAATCACCCACCAATGCGTCCAGTGTATAATCGTTTGTCGCTAGTAGCGAGTTGTTTCTGGTGAGGGTGTGCATCGTCACAATTGGTCTGGCGTTCCACATGCCACATGCAATTGGTTTGTAAAATCGACATTCTATTCGTGGAGATGCTGTGACGTGGAATTGAAGGCGAATCAGGGACATCAGAAGCTGCTGGGGACTGTGAAACATGACTCACACGAGCCAAATTTCAGTCACAGCCAGCATGGATCTTCGTGTGTCCAGTAACACACAGCAGACAGGAAACATACCCAACAACGTGGTAATATGTGACCCTTCATTATCTGAAGAGGTATGACTATACTCTTACCCTGAACTCTCACTGGATGAGATCAGGTCCGTGTCACCAGCCGAACCTCATTTTATGGCTCTCGTTGGCTGATCAAAGGTTACCACACACACGAGTTCTCAGATCGCTCCGTGATTGGCTAGCTGGTCACACTCGTGCCGTAAACGCCACAAGTTATTTCCTTCCGCGCTTCCTCCCCATCCATTCGAAACCTACCTCGCGACAAGAGGACCAGACTGCGGTGGCCCGTGGTTGAGACCGGCGCGGGGTTGCGCTTTGAACAAAACCAGCGCGGGGGCGCAATTCCACGTCAGTTCTTCCCAGCTTCCCCATCCGCGAGGGGCCGTTTCCCCGGAGTTTGTGCGAGCGCTCATGTCGTTCTGCCGTTGCAGTTCCCTCGCGCACTTCCGCGCCAACGCTCCTCTTGTCCGGCTCCTTCTGGGCTGGGCAGTGCTGCTGCGGTTCGAGATTCCTGAATTCGCCGCTGCTGCGCGGGTCCGCCCAATCTGCGGAAAAGGTGTTGTTTTGTCAAGAAGAATCAAACCCCCCCCCCCCCCCTCGCTCCCCCATTCCTCCTTCCCCCCCTCCCCCGCTAATTTCTCCGGCTGACCATCCCCACCCGCATTTCCTTCCCCCCATCCCTCGCTGGCCCCGACCAGCCTCCCCCCAGCTGTCCGCCCCACTCGCGCTCACAACCAGGCAGATCGAGTGCCTGGATTGAATGTCTATTCGAACAAGGGGCTCTCTGGATTTCACTATAAAGCGAGTCCTAGGTTCTACTAGATCAATATTGTACAGCTTTAGCAACTTTTCCTAGCCCTACCAAACCCGGCCATCGCACCTTTCCTCCATTTCAGCGTGAGCCTACGAACCCCTTGTACAGCTCGTTTCCTTTCCGCGAACCGACCAACCGAGAGCTTTTGTCGAGCTTCGATATAGATCCTGACCGTATCGAACCAGTCACTTCAACTACCCAACCCATCCAATCATGGCTCTTACCGCTGGAACGACGACAGGTTACCTGTCAACCGTCCGTGCGCTTAGCAGCGCTGCCACCACAACATGCGCTTCCCACGGCCCCTGCTCGCGACAGCTGCACGTGCCGCAGGGTTCGCTTCTCAGACTGCCACGTGGCGACGCCACGGCAGTTTCCGCGATGATCGGAACCGGGCTTGGATCAACTCGAGCTATTTCATCTAGCTTCGTTAACGTCGAACAACGGGGATTGCCTCTGCAGCAATCCATTCGCCGTCGCCAACTAGCCCCCCGGACTTCCCGGCATGACGTGCGGGCATCCGTCGCAGGAGATAGAAGTGACTGCCCGCGAGAGGATGCTGCGAAGGATACGGTATCTGCGGACCCTCCTGCGTCGCGGAGTGGCGGTGGAACCATCCTCGGTGCAGTCACGCTCATTATTGGCTCGTCCGTCGGCGCGGGCGTGCTTGCCTTGCCAACCGAAACCGCCCCTGCGGTAAGTAAAGGACCACCGCCGCCCAGGGGTGTGGGGGGGAAAGGGAAGGGGGGCGGGGGGGGGGAGGACGACGAGTAGTGTTGGGGGGGCTGAGCGGGTTTTGGGGCCTGAACGGGATCTTGCTGCTTTTTTTAGTCTCTTTTTCGTACCTGACTTTTTCTTTCCCTGTGCTCGTGCTTCTGTTTTCTCAGGGTTTCTTCCCCTCGTCAATGGTCCTCATCGGCTGTTGGGCTTTCCTCGTCCTCGAGGCGCTTCTGCTTGCGGAAGTCAACGTCGCGCTGCTTAAGGAGCGATCCGATAAGAGCAACACCGCTAACGCGTCTTCGTCATCCGATGCCGAGGCTGAGCGAGGCTCGGACGTCCTCTCCTACCGAACCATGGCCGAGGCGACGCTCGGGCCTCTCGGCGGCACGATCGCATCCGCGGCGTATTTATTCTTGTCGTTTACGCTGATGGTGGCTTATTTCGCCAAGGGCGGCGAAGTGATGTCGCTAGGGACGGATCTGCCGCGTTGGCTCGGTGCATCGGGGTTCGCAGTGGTGCTCGGCGGTTTGATCTACTGCGGAAACACGCGCACCGCTGACCTGGTCAACCGAGCTCTGACCGCCGCCTTGCTTGGTACGAACCGGTTTTTCTACCTTCTAACAATCACACAGTGCTATGTTCGTTGTTCGTTGTTTCCCGCCAGCCGTTTCGACCCTCTCCACTGTGTGACATTCGACGCTCATATTTTTCCACCCGTTTTCGCCCCCCCTTCTTCGGTTGCTTCTTTCTCTCACAGCAATCTTCGCGGCTCTGGTTTGCGGAGGCTCCACTCTCGCCGACTGGGACCAGCTGGGCTTCGCTGATTGGTCCGACATGTCATCCACTCTCCCCGCCATCTTCCTCGCGCTCGTCTTTCACGATCTCGTCCCCGTTCTCTGCGCGTACCTCGACGCGGATCTCAGGAAGATCCGCACCGCGCTCCTCGTCGGCAGCTCCGTGCCGCTCGCTATGTTCCTAACCTGGGACGCGATCGTACTCTCCATCTCGCCGTCCTCCATCGCCGCCGCCGGCGCCGCCGGAGCCGCTGCCGGCGCGAGCGCCGGGGATCTCGCCTCGTCCGTCGCCTCGTCCGTTTCCGCTGTTGGATCGTCGTTCGCGAATCTCGCGTCGTCGTTCCCTACGTCTCTAGCAACGGCTCTCTCTGCTCCCGCGCTTCCCGCTCTCGCGTTCCCCGCGCAGGACCCCTTCCAGCTGTTCATGCACCAGGCCACTCCCCTCCAATCAGCCGCCGTCCTCGCGTTTTCGTTTCTAGCCGTTGCCACGTCATTCCTCGGTTCCTCGCTCGCGCTGTCCGAGTTTTACATGGAGCAGATCGCAAACATGGTATTTGGCGGGAAAACCGCGGAGGCCGAAGCGGAGGATCAGGAGCAGAAGCAGACTGTGAGTGGTGCTAACGCTGTCGATATCAAGGAGGCCGGGATAGGGTTCGTGAGGTCCCATGTGAGGGAGGTGGGGTTCCTTCTGGCCCTCTGCCCGCCTCTCGCGGTAGCTCTGGCGAACCCTGGCGCGTTTGTGGCGGCGAGCAAGGCGGCTGGCGCGTACGGCATGACTGTACTGTACGGGATTCTGCCGCCCCTAATGTTCTACATGCATCACAAGCATAAGGCGGAGAACGAGGCTAAGCCGACTGGTACGGCAGGAGATTCGTTCTGGGTGCAGCCAGGTGGCAGCCTCGCGTTGGCCAGCATGGGCGGGTTATCGTGTGCTGTGATTGCGGGTCAGGCGGTGATCGATGCATCTGTGATTTCACCTGGTTCACTCGCTTCTCCCCAACCGTCGATTGTGTTGGCCCAAGGCGACCGCGATTCCATGGCTGATATTCCCTCTAGAACCCAACTCACTCTGGCGACAATCCGAAGCCCAGTTGCAGCTGGTACCCTTGAGCCCCCTCCCCTTGTTTACGCCAGCCAATCACTGGCTGCCAGCTGCATGACCGCCCCTCCAACCTCTGATCTCCAGCACGATGCATTCTTGAACCTTCGTGAGTCTGCATCGACGAACCCCATGCTGGCTCCGTTACCCGTTTCGCACTCTTCGCAGTGCCTGACGTTCACGATGTCGGACCTCGAGGCCTTTGATTCCACAAAGGAAACCCTGATTGTGGACATCTGAAGGTGGTGACAGGAGACAGAGAATTGGGTGCATAACGGCCTTGTAAGGGGCCTGTTGAATTGTTTGTGGAGGTTTGTGTACAGGTAGGTTTCAGCTAGAGGTGCTTGGGTTAGACAAGTTGCGCACTCCATTGTAGAGATCAATCTTTGTCTTGTACATATTCTAATGATTGATTTATCATTATTTCATACCTGCAGTACCGAGGAAGCAGTTCCAGGCCGTTTTCAGGATTTCTGGAACAAACAGCATTGGATTACGTCTGTGTCACACAAGATACGAAGAAGTATTCATATTCATGAGCTGTTATAAATGAAAGGTGAGTAATTAATAACGAGTTTGTTCTAGAAAGAACAAGAGCTTGACATACCTTATAATCCACTCTTGCTCTCATACCATGGCATGGCTGATTTTATCAGACTATTTTAGTCTGATTGTCTGAAATCTCAGACTCTTTTTTTCGCCTTTCCTGAAATTTCAGTATTCCTGTATTCTGAACTCTGAAGGCCTCAGACCTGTTAGTTTTTCAACTCTGAAAATTTCAGAGTACTTCATTGTGCGATACTGAGACTCGAGACTACAGGGAGTATGGCCCCTGAATTTGCCGAATTTCAGTCCTCCCCCCTCCCCCTCTCTCGAATTACATTCAATTCCCCCCCTGCCCCCCTCCCCCCTCCCCCTTCCCCCACCCCCTCTTACTCCTGCTTCTCGCCAACTCCGCAACGTTTTCCCTAGGCCAAACTCGCTTGACAGATATTCGCTATTCACCAACTCGGATGCAGTTTTACAAACTTAAAACTTTTCAGACTAATGATTTTTTCAAACCTGACATTTCAGAGTACTCAGAACTTGGGAAATGACCCTCAGACTAAACGAAATCTTTTTCTCCCCTGCCTCAGAGTGGGTTTTTTTGAAACGTCAGCCCTGTACCATGCTGTTATAACTGAAGAATCGCATAAGTCTGCCAAGTTTGAGAGAAGACAATGAAGTCTCTGAAATATTATAATTTGTAAAAGTGTAACACCTTTTCAAATTTCGTATTGTGAAAGCGAGGGCGTGGCCAGCAAAGCAAAGGTAGCGGCTCGACGCTACTCACCCCTCTTTTGCCTACAAAAGAGGAACGTGATTCCAGTAGCTCCACCCACGTTCTTCATTTCCATTTTCTAGTTTTACTTTATAGTTCCCCTTCATCCTGGCGAAGACGCAATCTCTCCCGCGGTTCAAGTCCCCGTCGACCCTTCTTACCGACATTCTCCAACACAACCTGGCGAACATTGTCATAATCTTACGGGAGAAGTTTGTCTCGACTATCGAGGGGAGAAGATACAAAGGAGAAACCTAAGGGGTTGTACCTCACAGTGAGTACCCCACTAAGCCTAACCAAACTATAACAAATATACACATATGTTTGACAAACATGGCTCCCGCCAACACTATGTTAGAATGTGAGCGAATGAATGATTGAACTAGAAAGCAGGTGGGTACAAGTAGCAAACCTAAAAGTGTTGTACCCTGTAAGAACTACCCCACTACAGCCTAAACAGACTATAGCATATAAGTTTGATGCTAGAAAGGCATGGTGCCGTCGTAGCGGAAGCCTTGATTGTAGAAGAGAATAACAAGAGAACTTTGCAACTGAATGGATTGATTATGAAACCTCACAGCAGGGAATTTATGCTATCAGCTACCCTGCCCACACCTATCCATGCACACTAATAATTGTGTCAAACATATGTTTATATGTTTAAGTTAGATAGGCTGTAGTGGGGTACTCACTGTGGGGTACAACCCCTTAGATTTTTCTTCTTGTACCAACACTCTCGATAGTTGAATCATCCATTGCCTAGCCTTTCGACATGGCATCTAGAGCGTAGGTCCTTAGGACCTAGGATTAGGGCCCACCTCACCTGCCTTGCCTACTGCCCGCGCGCGCCTCGGCTGCCCGCGCGCGGCCCCTTTTTTTTTGCCGCGCATGCCTCTTACGCAGCTCGCGCGGCCCGTTTAGGCCCCGCCCGCGCGCCACTTCTGCAGCTCGCGCGGCCCGTTTAGGCCCCGCCCGCGCGCCACTTACGCCGCCCGAGCGCAGCCCGTTTAGGCCACGCCCGAGCAGCCCGCCGCCGCACGCCGCCCGCAGTCGCGCGAGGCCCGTCGCCACGCGCAGCCACGCAGTCGCGCGCAGCCCGTCGCCACGCGCAGCCAGGAGCCGCGCGCAGCTCGTCGCCACGCGCGCTGCCCGCAGCCACGCGCGCAGCCTGCAGCTTAGCGCAGCAAGCCGCCTGCTGCTGCTGCCTGCCTGCTTGCTGCTTGCTGCCTGCTGCCTGCCTGCTGCTGCTGCCTGCTGCTGCCTGCTGCTGCTGCCTGCTGCCTGCTGCTGCCTGCTGCAGCCGCTCCTGCCTGCCACCTGCCTGCAGCCTGCCTGCTGCCTGCCTGCTGCCTGCCTGCTGCTTGCTGCCTGCTGCCTGCCTGCTGCTGCTGCCTGCTGCCTGCTGCCTGCTGCTGCCTGCTGCAGCCGCTCCTGCCTGCCACCTGCCTGCAGCCTGCCTGCTGCCTGCCTGCTGCCTGCCTGCTGCTTGCTGCCTGCTGCCTGCCTGCTGCAGCCTGCCTGCCGCCTGCCTGCAGCCTGCCTGCTGCCTGCCTGCTGCCTGCCTGCTGCTTACTGCCTGCTGCCTGCCTGCTGCAGCCTGCCTGCCACCTGCCTGCTGCCTGCCTGCTACTTACTGCCTGCTGCCGCCTGCCTGCTTGCTGCCTGCTACCGCCTGCCTGCCACCTGCCTCCTACCTGGTGCCTGCTGCCTCTGTCTGCTGCCTCCTGCCTTAAGCCAATATGGCGACGCCCAACGTTCTCGCATTCGAGCCTGACGGTCGTCCCCTCGAGTTCGATGTGTGGTTTGACGATCTCCAGCTGTTCCTTCTGACTGATGCCAAAGAGGGCGTTTCCCTGTTTGATTACGTCTCTGGCACTGCCGTTACTCCTGCTGCTGATGCTCCTGCTCTAGAACGCTCCCAGTGGCAGACTCGTGATGCTGCTGCACGCCTAGCTATTAGGAACCACCTGCCGATTACTGAGCGAGCGCACTTCAGCCAGCACAGAACTGCTAAGACACTGTACGACGCTGTAGTTGCGCGCTACTCCTCCCCGGCCACTGCAGCCATAGGTCGACTCATGCTACCGTACCTGTTCCCCGATCTTTCCTCGTTCACCACTGCTGAGGACCTAGTTTCTCACCTACGTGCTACTGACTCTCGCTTTTGTGCCGCTCTTTCAGCCGAGTTCTGCGCCGCAAACCCCCCCCCGATGTACTTCACTCTCTATTTCCTCGTCACCCGCCTCCCTGACACTCTTAGCTCTGTCAGGGACCACTTCCTAGCGCTAGACCCCACCACTCTCACTGTCGACGACTTCGAGAAGCACCTCCTCGCAGCAGAGAAAAAAATCCTCGCTGTAGGTGCTGCTCGTGGCACCCCTCGCTCTCCCCTCTTTGAGGGGTGCTCCCCCTCCCCTCTCACCCCCTCCTAGGCCTCCGCAGCTGCTGTTCACGACTACCTTGGTGCTGATGAGGTCGGAGCTGCTTCCGCTCCTAGTGGGAAGCGTCGCAGCGGCAGGGGCGGCAGGGGTGGCAGGGGCGGTGGGGGTGGCGGTGGAGGTGGCGGTGGTGCAGGCGGCGGGGGAGGTGGAGGTGGTGGGGGTGGTCGTGGGGGTGGAGGCGGTGGAGGTGGTGGTGGGGGCGGCGGAGGCACTGGGAGCGGTGGAGGGGGCAGCAGCGGCGGTGGGGGAGGAGGGAGCGGTAGTGGCATTGGTGGTCAGGGCCAGCAGCAGCCGCAGCAGCAGGAGCAGCAGCAGCAGCAGCAGCAGCATCAGCGCCAGACCCCCACTTCCCAGCAGCTTCTTGACTGGTATGCCGGGCGTGGGGCTTCTGGGGGTCCTGGTCGCTGCCCCTATATCATCCGCACAGGTCCCCGCGCTGGTCGCCAGTGCACAGGTTTTCACACTGAGCAGCGCTGCTTCGCTCGGCTTAGCGACGCCTGGCACGCCAAGTTTCCTAATGCTACTGAGTTCCCCAACTGGGCAGACTTGCTTGGACGTGATGTACCTATCTTTGATCTTGACTATGAGGCAATTCTTGCTGCTATGTATGCATTGTCTGTTAGTGCTGAGGGTGACTGCTACTTGTGTGTGCCGCCGACTCCTGGTATAGTCCCTGGTATAGCCCCTGCAGCACTTGGTGCTTGTGAGTCTGCTCCCCCTGGTACTGCGCCTGCACAGGCCTTGCACACCTTTACACTTGACTCTGGTGCTTCCCGCTGTTTCTTTCGCGACAGTACCACAGTCACTCCCCTCCCTGCACCTGTTCCTGTCTCACTGGCTGACCCCTCTGGGGGCCCAGTGCTTGCACGGTCTTCCACTGTGCTTCCGTGTCCGGCGGTCCCGTCTGGTGAGCTGTCTGGTCTCCACCTCCCCTCGTTCTCTACGAACTTGGTGAGTAACGCTGTCCTCCAGGATGCGGGGGTTGACACCTTCACCCCTGGCCGGCAGCGTGTGGCGATTTGCACGTGCTCCCAGACTGGTCGCCACCTGGCCACGTTCACTCGTGCGCCAGGATCCAGTCTGTACACCCTCACCACTGCGTCGCGCTCCGCCCCTTTGTCTCCCCAGTTGCACGCTTCTGCTCAGGTTGCTACACAGTGTGAGTGTCGCCGGCTGTCGCACGACACTCTCCTGTGGCACCACCGCCTTGGTCACCCCTCCTTGCCTCGCCTTCGTAGCATGCATTCTCGCTTCCTTGTTTCTAGTCTTCCCAGGTCTCTGCCTCCCCTCCCTCCCTCGCCTGCGCCGCCCTGCATTCCTTGCGTCGAGAGGCGGCAGCGCGCCGCTCCTCACTCCTCCTCGTTCCCTCCCACAGAGGCTCCACTGCAGACTCTCCACCTGGACGTGTGGGGCCCAGCCCGCGTCCGTGGACAGGGCCACGAGCGGTACTTCCTGCTGGTTGTCGACGACTACACGCGTTACACCACGGTCTTCCCCTTGTAGCGCAAGGGGGATGTCCCTGCTGTTCTGATCCCCTGGATCCGCGCTACTCGTCTCCAGCTCCGCGAGCGGTTCCAGACGGACTTTCCTGTCCTGCGTCTGCACTCTGACCGAGGTGGTGAGTTCTCCTCAGACCTCTTGGTAGCCTTCTGTGCGGAGCACGGCATCCGCCAGACTTTCACGCTTCCGGCCTCTCCGCAGCAGAATGGGGTTGCTGAGCGCCGCATTGGCTTAGTCATGGAGGTCGCTCGTACCTCCATGATCCATGCGGCTGCCCCCCATTTTCTGTGGCCGTTTGCGGTCAGGTACGCCGCGCATCAGCTCAACCTTTGGCCCCGTGTCTCCTTGCCGGAGACCTCGCCCACACTGCTGTGGACGGGGAAGGTTGGCGACGCGTCGCGTTTCCGAGTCTGGGGTGCTCGTGCCTTTGTCCGCGATACCGCTGCGGACAAGCTCTCCCCTCGCGCCATTCCTTGTGTCTTCCTTGGCTTTGTCCCTGACGTGCCTGGCTGGCAGTTTTACGACCCCGCCTCGCGCCGTGTCTTTGCGTCTCAGGATGTCACCTTTGACGAGTCGGTCCCCTTTTACCGCCTCTTCCCCTACCGCACTGCTCCTCCCCCCCCCCCGCCGCTCTTTCTTGCCCCAGGTCCTCCCCAGGTAGACCCCCTCCCCGCGCCAGGTCCTGCTCCTTCAGGTGTCTCTCAGGTAGACCCCCCCGCGCCTGCGCCTGTTGAGGTCACTGGTGACTCAGGTCCTGCTGCTAGTGGTGATGTCCCTGGGGGTGCGGAGCTTGGGGGTGCTGAGTCTGGGGGCGCTCAGCGTGTGGAGCCTGGAGGTGCTGAGCCTACGCGTGAGGAGCCTGGAGGTGCTGCGTCTGGGGGTGCTCCGTCTGGAGGTGCTGCGTCTGGGGGTGCTGAGCCTGCGTGTGCGGAGCCTGGGGGTGCTGAGTCTGGGGGTGAGTCGCCTGAGGGTTCTGAGACTGCTGTTACGCGGTCTCCCTGGAGCAGTCGTCTTCGTTCGCGTGTGCCCCTTACCTCCCAGCAGCTGCACGACTGGTACGGTCGCCGTCAGCGTCGCACTTCTGCACCTCTGGGCTCTACTGCTGGGGGTTCTTCTGCTGGTGTCGCTGGTCCCGGAGGTGCTCGTACTGGGGGTACTGGAGCTGCTGGGGCTGGCGGTGTTGCTGCTGGAGGTGCTGGAGGTACTGGAGGTGCTGGAGGTGCTGAGGGTCCTGCGGTTGCTGGCGGTACTGGACCTGCTGAGGGTCCTGGAGCTACTGGCGGTGCTGGAGCTGCTGAGGGTCCTGGAGCTGCTGGAGGTACTGGAGCTGCTGGAGGTGCTGGAGCTGGTGGTGGTGCTGGAGCTACTGGTGCTGGTGGCATTGCTCAGCCGCGCCTGTTCTTCGCTCCGCCGTCCCCGTCGTCTCAGCCACCACCTGACTCTGCACTTCGCCAGGTTCTCAGTCTTCCCTCGTCTACTGGTCTTCCGTTACAGCCTGGCTCACCGCTGCCTGCTCCTTCTCCGTACACAGAGCAGACTAGTGGCCTTGCAGAGCATCGTGAGCCTGCGTCGCGTCCTGTCTCACCCGTCCGTTCTGGTCGTTCCGGTCGTCGTGTTCCTAGTCAGAGACAGCCGACTGTCTCCGACCCTCACCTTGTAGTTCGTCGTCCTTCCTCTCCTCCGCCGCGTGTTCCTCTGCCGTCTCCCCCTGCGTCCTCTCTGCCTGTCGTTGCTGACCCTGCGTCTGACCTGTTTCGTGCTGAGCACTCTACTGTCCCGCGTCTGCTTGCCACTGTTGTCACTGACCCGTCGTTTGAGTCTGCTGCTGCGTCTGCCTTAGTCGCTGAGCTTGTTGACTTTGCTGCTGCATGTCGTCTAGACTACGCCGCCAGTCTTGTTGCTGAGTCTGAGTCTGTCTGTCCTCCGTGTCTGGATTGATTTTCAGGGTGAAGCGGCCGCCAGGTTCTCCGCCTGTCTTCAAGGCTCGTTACGTGGCTCGAGGCTTCAGTCAGCGAGAGGGAGTTGACTTCTTCCAGACCTTCTCCCCCACCCCGAAGATGACCACTCTTCGGGTGCTGCTGCATGTTGCCGCTCAGCGTGACTACGAGCTTCACTCTCTTGACTTCAGCACAGCCTTCTTACAGGGCAGCTTGCACGAGGAGATCTGGCTGCGCCGCCCTCCTGGCTTCACTGGGTCGTTCCCTCCTGGTACCCAGTGGAGCCTCCGGCGGCCAGTCTACGGTCTCCGCCAGGCGCCACGTGAGTGGCACGACACACTGAGGACGACACTTGCGGCTCTTGGGTTTGCTCCGTCGACTGCTGACCCGTCGCTGTTTCTGCGCACCGACACTTCGCTGCCGCCGTTCTACATCCTCGTGTACGTCGACGACTTGGTCTTTGCCACTGCTGACACTGAGGCTCTCGCCCTGGTGAAGTCGGAGCTGCAGAAGAGACACACGTGCACAGTCCTGGGTGAGCTGCACAGCTATCTTGGCTTGCAGATCACTCGGGACAGAGCACGCCGCACCATCACACTGACTCAGTCACACATGGTGCAGCAGGTCCTTCAGCGCTTCGGCTTCACCTGGTCCTCAGCACAGCCCACTCCTCTGGCTACAGGTCACTCGCTCTCAGCTCCACCTTCGGACGAGTCCGTAGAGCCGAGTGGTCCTTACCCAGAGCTAGTGGGCTGCCTCATGTACCTGATGACCTGCACTCGTCCTGACCTTGCGTACCCTCTTGGTCTTCTGGCTCGCTACGTGGCTCCTGGTCGGCACCGAAAGGTGCACATGGATGCTGCTAAGAGGGTACTACGCTACTTGTGCAGTACATCGGGCATGGGGCTCGTGCTTGGAGGACGGGGTGACGTTGTCCTCACTGGTCACTCGGACGCCTCTTGGGTTGACGACCAGGCTACGCAGCGGTCGTCTCAGGGTTACACCTTCAGCCTTGGTTCTGGTTCAGTTTCCTGGCGTTCTACACGTTCGTCTTCAGTTCTCGGCTCCAGCTGTGAGGCCCAGATCTACGCCACAGCCATGGCTGCGCAGGAGTTACGCTGGCTCACCTACCTGCTGACCGACTTGGGAGAGCGGCCTCGTTCTCCTCCAGTTCTGTACGTCGACAACAAGGCCGCCATCGCCTTGTGTCAGGAGCACAGACTGGAGCACAGAACAAAGCACATCGCTCTCCGTTACTTCCTTGCTCGAGAGCTGGAGCAGCGTGGCCAGCTTCGTCTTACTTACGTGGCCACTCGGGCCAACACTGCTGATATATTCACCAAGGCGCTTCCGCCTGGTGATCATCAGCGTTTCTGTACTTTGTTAGGCCTTGTGCCCACGCTTCCTCACTTGCTGTAGGCTTTGTTTGTACTGTGATCTATATGTATACCTGCATGCTTGCTCTTGTAGGCTGATATCAATGTGCTGTTGTTGTTACACATATATCTCTGCATGTGAACTGGCCTTGTGGCCTCTTGCTTGTGCTCAGATTGCGTGGTGACGTTGTGATCCACCCTGAGCTTGCTTTGCATTTCCTGTCTGGCCTTGTGACCCTCTGTTCTCCCCCACTTTGCCTATGGGGGTGTGTCAAACATATGTTTATATGTTTAAGTTAGATAGGCTGTAGTGGGGTACTCACTGTGGGGTACAACCCCTTAGATTTTTCTTCTTGTACCAACACTCTCGATAGTTGAATCATCCATTGCCTAGCCTTTCGACAAATTGTACCACCAATAATGGCAACTCCAATAAATGAGTACCAATAATTTCACCCCCAAACCTCTAGACTCCAATAATTCTGGCCCTACAATAATTGTACAATTATTGTAGGACCTGGAGTCTTATAAAGGAGACTACAGTAAAAATCTAACGGCATATATAGTTCCTCATGTTTCTATTTCCAACACTCCCCCTTGCTGTAGATTTTACTATAAATTTACTGGGGTTCATTTTTGTGGAGGGTAGGAGTACAAGGTGGTACCGTTGGTGACACAGGTAATCGCGGATGATTCCGGCGAGGATTGCGGAGCTGTTGAAGATGACAGCGTTGATTGCGGAGCAGACCACGTTAGGGTTTCAAAGTTCCGTTGACACGTTGGAGAGTTGGGTCGGTTGTCATGTAGCAGATTTCGTGCACGTTCCTCGTCAGGTGTACACTTGGTCCCGACTTTCGGATCTCAGGTGTTTCTTGTTACGTTGCTGTCACATTGGTGCTGCGCCCTGGTGCTCCTCTCTCCTTCCCACAGCTCTTGCGACCTCGTCGAGCAGGGGTCCTCCAATCTTGTCATTTGCTCGCTTTCAGATGTCCCTTGCGAAGCTGTTTCTCTGGCTATGAGTGCTGCTGGCGAAATTATGGCGAAATCATAGCTTAGCTGCTAGCGCGCGACCTAGCAGCAGCCCGAAATGCTCCCCGATCCGCGTTAGCTGCTTCCATTGCGCGTCCGCTGTTGTATGTCGCGATATCCGGCAGCATCAGCTGGTGCGCGTCACCAGCGCTCGTGATGTCACGGCTGGCGCTCGGTGACAATAACGCACGTGACGACCTGCAGCGCCGGATGCGCGTTTTCTGCGGCTGCGGCCAGATCCGTGACTGCTGCTTCTGTCGCGTTACTGCTTCCTCTGTCGCGCGGCTGCAGTAACCTTCTCGCTTGACGTCCTGCGCGCTGCAGCTCCTTGCGCGTGACTGCTGTTCACGGCGCTCTGCGACATCGATGCCCGTGGTGATCGGCAGCAGCGGCTGGCGCACGTCTGGAGCATCATGCGCGCTGCTGCATTATATCGCATGTGGCGGCTTCTACTGGTGCGCGCCCTCCCCTTTGTTATTTCGGACGACCTGGCGCTCCTGCAGCGCCTCGCGCATGACGCCATTGCCTACGACTGCAACGACGGCCGCACCTGTGGCGAGCTACAGCACCTGTGGCGCACGGCAGCACCTGTGACGCACGGCAGCACCTGTGACGCACGACTTTCTTCTTCCTGCCGAGGTGAGAATGCTTAGTGGAACCTGACTGTTTCACCCATATTACCCTGTTACCCTGTGATGTTACCTTGTGCTGCTCCCCTTGACCCTGTGCTGCTCCATGTTGCCCTGTGCTGCTCCCCCTATACCAGGTGGAGTACAGGAGCAGCTGCAACTGGTACACAAGCACCTGGCGGCTGCTCCTGCACCTGGCGGCTGCTCCTGCACCTGGCGGCTGCTCCTGCACCTGGCGGAAGCTGCACCAGTGGCGGTTGACGAGTGGCGGCCGCATCAGCAGCTTGTGCAGGCCAGCTTTCTCGTGCCGACCAGCAGCTTCAACTTCAACGGCGTGCAGCAGGGGTCGCACATCAGCAGCACTACCCGGCGCTCGGCAGCAGCATCAGCGTATTGCAGTAGCGACACACTCGCGGAAGTAGCGGCGGGTGAGCTGGAGACGACTAGCAGCAACTTGCTGCTGACCCATTCTTCTGCCGAGGTGAGGTGTTCCGTTTGAGCGAGCGTTGTGCTCTCCTCTCTGCCGCACCCAAGTCCTGACTTCTTGCACCGTCGTATCTTATGCACCCTTGTGAGTGAGGCTCCAGCTTTCTACCCTGCCTCATGCCATGGTGCCTTACACCCCGTAAGCCTCGTCTTGTTCTGGATGCAGAGTCAGTCATGCCTGCTTTCACTTGTGATGCTATCCCCTTGTCACACCAGCGGGCGCACGGGAGCAGCTGTGGGCGACTGGCCATGGCGGCTGCAACATTTCCTGCCCACCTGAAGCATCACTTGGCCGCTTGCAGCAACATCGGGCCTGCTGCAGCAGATGGCGGCAGAAGCACTCTGCACCAGCACTCTGCCTGCAGCTCCCCTTGACGCCCTTAACCAGAAGCTATGCGGCCTGCAGCAACTGTTGTGGCTCCAGCATGTCTTGGTACGCTACTGCTGCTCCAGCACACGTCCATCACATGTAGCTTGCCTTTTATCTTCGATCAGCAGTAACAGTCGTTTATCCATTCATGACTGTGTAATCCTCCACTGACTCTTGCTGTCGTGTTTTACTCCCCCTGAAATCAGCAGGCATATGAAGTCTTCAGGAACGGCCGCTGCAGATGGCGAGTGGTTGTGACCAACCAGCAGCAGCGACTGTCCAGCAGAATATCTGATGGCTGCTGTTGTTACTGATTGCAGTAGGTCTTCTCATGATTATATGCTGACTCCTGTGATGAGGAAAATGAAAAGATGGTTGTGAGATGAAATCCTGATTTGTTGCACCCCAAGATACTCCACACCCCACTCCCCCTCTCACTCGTGTGTTAGTGTCAAACATTATATATGTTGTGTTAGTTTAGGCTACAGTGGGTTAGCCTATAGGGGGTACACAATTCTAGGGTTAGGTACTTGTACTCTTTTCATTGCTAGTTCATTCATTCCTGTTCAGTGATTCCAACATGGTATAGAGCAGGTCCTTCCTAGGACCGAAATTTTCTAAGGGCCCACCACTACGTAACTACCTACCTACCTACCTACCCGTGCCCTAGGGCGCCTCGGCGTGTCACGCCCCTAGAGGCCCCTCTTGACGGCCCCGCGCTAGCCCCGTTCAGGCCCCGTCGGCCCCTTTAAGGCCCCGTTCAGGCCCCGCGCTAGCCCCGTTTAGGCCCCGTCGGCCCCGTTTCAGGCCCCGTCGGCCCCACGCTAGCCCCTCTCAGGCCCCGTCGACCCGCGCTAGCCCCGTTTCAGGCCCCGTCGGCCCCTTTTCAGGCCCCGTCGGCCCCGCGCTAGCCCCTCTCAGGCCCCGTCGGCCCGCGCTAGCCCCGTTTCAGGCCCCGTCGGCCCCATTTCAGGCCCCGTCGGCCCCGCGCTAGCCCCTCTCAGGCCCCGTCGGCCCGCGCTAGCCCCGTTTCAGGCCCCGTCGGCCCGCGCTAGCCCCGTCTCAGGCCCCGTAGGCCCCGCGCTAGCCCCTCTCAGGCCCCGTCGGCCCCGCGCTAGCCCCATTCAGGCCCCGATCGGGCCCGCGCTAGCCCCGTTTCAGGCCCCTTCGGCCCCGTTTCAGGCCCCGTCGGCCCCGCGCTAGCCCCGTTCAGGCCCCGTCGGCCCCTTGCTAGCCCCGTCAAGGCCCCGTTTGGCCCCGCGCTAGCCCCGCTCAGGCCCCGATCGGCCCCGCGCTCGCCCCTCTAGGGCCCCAACCGGCCCCGTGCCTACCTCGCCGACCCGTGCCCACCACCCAGAGGCCCCGGGCGGCCCGTTCCCGCCGCAGCACAAGAGGGAGAGCGGGCGGCCCGTCCCCGCCGTGACCTGAGCCGAGCCGCGCGCCCCGAGCCGAGCCGCGCCACCCAGCCGAGCCGCGACCCGACCTGAACCGAGCCGCGCCGCCCTGCCCTACCTGGTTCGTCCTACCTGCTTCTCCTACCGCTACTGCTGCTATTTCTACTGTTCCTATGGCTAGCCCACAGGTTCTCGTGTTCGATGCTGAGGGCCGCCCTGTGAAGTTTGACACCTGGCTCGATGACCTGCACCTCTACCTACAGCTCACAGCCAAGGATGACATCTCACTGTACGATCACGCCCTAGGCCTTGTCACTGCCCCTGCTGCTACTGCTGACAGCACTGCTCGCTCACAGTGGCAGACTCGTGATGCCCACGCTCGCTTCGCCATTCGCAACTCCCTGCCGATAGACGAACGCGAGCACTTTGGTCAGCACAAGACTGCACCGGCACTGTACACAGCTGTAGTTGCTCGCTACTCCTCACCTGCCTCTGCCGCACTAGGCCGTCTCTCCCTCCCCTACCTGTTTCCCGACCTGGCCTCCTTTCACACAGTCGCTGACCTCATCACGCACCTCCGTACTAGTGAGGCCCGCTTCCGTGCCGCCATGCCTGCTGAGTTCCTTGCCACGCACCCCCCTCCACTCTGGCTCACTCTCTATCACCTAGTCACCCGCCTCCCTGACACACTGCGTGCTGTCAGGGACCACTTCCTAGCTCGTTGCCCCACTGAGCTCACCATTGCCCTCCTCGAGAAGGAGCTACTTGCAGCTGAGGCTAGCATAGTCGCTGTAGGTGCCTCTCGTGGCGACCCCCGTACCCCGTTCTTTGAGGGGTGTTCTCCTTCCCCCCTTCTTCCCTCTGTCGCCTCTGCTGCTGCTGTCGACCTTCTTGGTACTGAGAAGGTCGGCGCTGCGTCTGCCTCGAGCGGACGCCGCAGCGGCAAGGGCAAAGGGGGCAAGGGTAGTGGCGGTGACGGCGGGGGAGGCGGCGGTGGGGGCGGTGGAGGCAGTGGGGGTGGTGGCTCGGCTGGAGGGGCGAGTGGTAGCGGTGGGGGTGGTGGCGGCAGCGGCGGGGGAGGTGGCAGGAGTGGAGGCGGCGGTTGTGGTGGCGGTGGACGAGGCGGCGGCAGGGGTTGGGGTGGTCGAGGAGGTGGCAGCGGTGGTGGTGGCCGTGGAGGCGCTGGCGGTGGCCAGGGCCAGCAGCACACTCTCTCGCCCCAGGAGGTCCGTGAGTGGTACTCTCAGCATGGGGGTGGGGGTGGTCTTAGCTGCACGTACGTCATTCGCACTGGTGACCGCACTGGTCAGCAGTGTGGACGACCGCACGCCACACAGCGCTGCTTCTCTCGTCTCGACGACGCTTGGCGTGTTCAGTTCCCTCAGGCCACTGAGCTGCCCCGCTGGCTTGATCTCCTGAAGAAGGGGATTGATATCTATGCTCTAGACTTTGATGCTATTCTATCTGCCATGTATGTGATGTCTACTAGTGGAGAGGGTGCTGAGTACTTGTGTGTGCCGCCCGACCCGGGCATTAGGGCCAGTGCGTCTGCCGCTCCAGGTACTCACGTGTCGGCTACCCCAGGTGCTGGTGAGGCTGCTGCTCTAGGTGCTCGTGTGTCTCCCCCCCTTGGTACTGCGTCGACTGCCGCACTGCACACCTTCACACTGGACTCAGGTGCTTCTCGCTGCTTCTTTCGTGACCGCACTGCCCTTGAGCCGCTTGCTCGACCAGTTGCTGTCTCCCTTGCTGACCCCTCTGGGGGTCCGGTCATTGCGACCTCTTCCACTGTCCTTCCCTGCCCTGCGGTCCCGTCGGGCACACTGTCAGGTCTCCACCTCCCCTCGTTCTCTACGAACTTGGTGGCAGGCTGTGCACTCCAGGACGGGGGTGTTCACCAGTTCACCCCTGCCTACGAGCGCGTGACACACTGCACGTGTGCTCGTACGGGCCGTCACTTGGCTACCTTCACTCGGCAGCCGGGGTCGGACCTGTACACACTGACTACTGAGTCCCCTCAGGTTGCTGCGACTGCGTCCGCGTCCGCGTCAGGTCAGCTGTCCGCCCCCTGCTCGTGTCGCTCTTTGGCACACGAGACTGTCCTCTGGCACCACCGCCTTGGCCACCCGTCTGTGCAGCGGCTTCGTGCCATGCACTCCAGGTACCTTGTCTCTGGCCTGCCCAGGGTCCTTCCTCCCCTCCCACCCTCGCCTGCTCCTACCTGTCTCCCCTGTGTCGAGGGACGGCAGCGCGCCGCTCCTCACTCCTCCTCGTTCCCCCCGACGACTGCTCCCTTGCAGACACTCCACATGGACGTGTGGGGCCCAGCCCGCGTCCGTGGTCAGGGTCAGGAGAGGTACTTCCTGATAGTTGTTGACGACTACTCGCGCTACACCTCGGTCTTCCCCTTGCGCACCAAGGGTGAGGTCCCTGATGTCTTGATCCCTTGGATCCGCCGAGCTCGTCTCCAGCTCAGCGAGCGTTTTCACTCGGACTTTCCTGTCCTGCGCTTGCACTCTGACAGAGGTGGTGAGTTCTCCTCCGACCTCTTGGCAGCCTACTGTGCTGAGCACGGCATTGAGCAGTCGTTCACGCTTCCGGCTTCTCCACAGCAGAATGGGGTTGCGGAGCGCCGCATTGGCCTGGTCATGGAGGTTGCCCGTACCTCCTTGATCCATGCGGCTGCCCCCCACTTTCTGTGGCCGTTTGCGGTCCGGTACGCTGCGCATCAACTCAACCTCTGGCCCCGTGTCTCCTTGCCGGAGACCTCGCCCACGCTACTGTGGACGGGGGAGGTTGGCGATGCGTCGCGTTTCCGGGTCTGGGGGTCTCGAGCTTTTGTCCGCGATTCGTCTGCGGACAAGCTCTCCTCCCGTGCTGTTCCCTGCGTCTTCCTCGGCTTTGTCCCGGACGCGTCTGGTTGGCAGTTTTACCACGCCACCTCGCGCCGAGTCTTGCCCTCCCAGGACGTCACTTTTGACGAGTCCGTCCCCTACTACCGCCTCTTCCCCTACCGCACTGCCCCGCTCCCCCCCCCGCCTCTCTTCCTCTCGCCAGGTGCTGCTGTTGCAGACCCCCTCCCCCCTCAGGGTGCCGCTCCCTCAGGTGTGTCTCAGGTAGACCCGGTTGAGCCTGTTGAGGTAGCTGTCGACTCTCGTCCTGCTGGGGGTGCTGAGCCTGGGGGTGCTGAGCCTGGGGGTGTGGAGCCTGGGGGTGTGGAGCCTGGGGGTGTGGAGCCTGGAGGTGTGGAGCCTGGGGGTGTGGAGCTTGAGGGTGCTGAGCTTGGGGGTGTGGAGCCTCGTGGTACTGAGCTGCGGAGTCCGGAGTCTGGGGGTTCTGCGTCTGGAGGTACGAGGTCTGGGAGTCCTGCACCTGGAGGAGCCCTCTCCTCGGAGCAGCTACGTGCGTGGTACTTAGAGTACTGCAGCCTCCGGAGAGGTACCGCTCGAGCCGGACGTACTACTGGGACTGGTGCTAATACTTCTTCTCCCGTTCGGGAGCTCCCCTCCCGCGAGCGGATCCGTGAGTGGTACGAGCGGCGCTGCACTCTTCGGAGTGGCGTGCCTCGTGTTACGAACCCCGCTGCTGTTGGAGCTGCTGCTGGTGCTGAG